AAGAATGGGTGAATCATGATTAATGTTATTATATATTTAATTTATAATATAATCATAATATTGTTTTCTCGTGCATCGTACGGGCCTCATACTAGTCGTTTTTATTAGATTTAGCAATTAAAATCCGGTTTCTGTATGTTAGCCTCGTGAATTCGTATTTATTAGATTTGGCACTTAATATCCGGTTCAAACAACACAAGGCATTGGTTCAAAAAACACAAAGCACAAGGCATCCAGGCCCGGCTCCTTGGGGAGGCAGCCTAGGCCCATGCCTAGGGCCTCCCCTTAAATTTGGGGCCTCATTTTTTTCTCAATATTATGTATTTGTGATGAGTTTGACCCATTATACAAATGAATGAGCTAATTAATGAATAGGTTAATGACAAAATATATACTTTGTGTGAAAATTTGAGACCCTAAATATTTCATTTGTTTTCTTATGATGTTCGGTTAGAACAATTGTGTAAGAATAAACATTCTTTACAATGATATGATTTTTATTCTTTTATCCTTGTTGTTCTAATGACTGATTGAATGTAAATTATTAAAGATCTTTGTAACTCATAGGTAATTTATCAATTCCAAAGTCTAGAAAAACAAGATTTTTTTTTTCAATTATTTATTTATTTACTTAATAGTCTTTTTTTATTAGGTTTTTTTCTTCTACGATAGTATCTGCAAATAGCCTAATTACCATGCAAGTTCAAATCAGGAAAACGAAAAGAAAAAACTTGTCTAGGGCCTCCAAATTTCTGGAGACGGCCATGAAGGCATCCACGTTCTTAGATTCATAGAATTTTTTATTCAACAACTTTGGTTAATCTTAACCTCTCATCAAACTCAATCTCTAGTTCCTTGCTGCCATCATTAGGAATTTGTCTGTTTGTTGGCTCGGGATTTTGCCATCGTCGGGTCGCCATGCTCTCCTTAACGGCTGCTTCTTCTCCTTAACGGTTGCTTCTTCTTCTTCTTCTTTCTCTTTTTTTTTTTTNGCTTGGCGGCAATTTTTTTTTCATTTTTTTTTATTTATTTAGTGATTTATTTGAGATATATAATTTTATTTAGGCTCAATGTTAAAAAATAAATAATTTAACACATTTTAAGTAAATTAATAAAAGTATATAATGTCATTTTTTTAAAAAAATTTTAAGTAAGGGCATTTTAGTATTAATGCAAGTTTTTTTTAAAAAAAAATATTTAATTAAATATGCAAAAGGATACATGTCATCAACTAAAGGGGTACATGTTGTTATGTAGGTACGAGACAAGTAATAGGCGTACTTGACAGTAGAATGACTCTACTAATCTTCCATTAAAAATATGTTAAAGTTAGAATTTTTTAGACAATTTCATTCGTTTTTTTATAACAGTATAGATAGATATGTGATCATTGACTCGCTGTATGATTGCATTTAGTAGGGATAAAGCATAGATTCTTGAATTATTCAATATATATCTTTGAATGTACCTCTATACTCACATGCACACTTACATTTATTTAATTATATTAAACTAAAATAATCTTTTTTATTATTTTGTTGAAAAGAAAAAAGGTTAACGTTCACATTACAACTTTTCAAAGATATATATATATATATATATATATATATATATATATATATAGGACTGGTTCAAATAAAAATCAGTCCTGGTGTGAGAACCGTGAGAATCGTTTTTTATGCTATTTTTTATTGTGTATGATGCTATTTTTCATATTAGATGATGCTATTATTTTTACAAGTGCTACCAGAAATTGTGTTGCTGTTTTTAATAAAATTCATTCTACTTAAAAATAGCATCAAACACAATCAATCATAGCACTACGCCCCAATAAAAATAGCGGTTCTCACAGTTCTCACATTAAGACTTGGTTTTCATTTGAACCACATCCTATATATATATATATATATAATGCGAGAGTCTTAATGCGAGAAATGAGAATGAATTTGGAGCATTGGATCTACAACATTAATGGCCATGATGAAGTCAAACCAATTAAAATTAGTCAAAATCGCAGTGGCATAATTGTAAATATTTGAACATTATTGAATGAAATATAACCATTTAGGACAAATATGTAATTTGGACCCATCATCAAAACCAGTGGGCCCCATCCATAATCATTGCATCACCTCTCTCCTCTCTCCTCTCTTTTCTCTCTCTCGTTCCATCTTCCCTTCTTCCATCTTCCCTTCTCTCTCCCCCCGCCGCCGGAAGCTCACAGGTCACGGCCCCGATCCGCTGACCGCCACCGCAACTGCAACGAGTCCGCCGATCACGTCGCCGTTGTCGTCAGACGTTGCCGCGATCCGTCCGTCAAGTCCGGCAAAGCTCACGGCGAAGGTGCTCCAGTCAACGGCCACCGCAATCGAAGCCGTCAACAAACCTCCACCTCGCCTGCCATCCTCCATCCTCATCGCCTCCGCCATCAATCCGGCCCCAGAGTCCTCGCCTCGCCGGCACACTTCATCTCCGCCATGTCACCTCTTCACCGGAGAAGTTGCAGGTCACCGGCGAGAACCACCACCATACCGAGCCAGCCCTCGCCTGCCGCCATTGAGCCCGTCGCCGCCACAGCCCCGCCGTGCCGTCGTCGGCTGAAGGCATATCACATACATCAATTTTGCATTTTTAGATTTTTGTGGCTTGTTTTTTAAAAATTTGATATGTTTAAAGCACTTAATTGCAATTTTATAAACTTTAAGATACTACAATTCAATATATGGGTCAAATTTATAATTTATAAAAAATTAAACACTTGCACATTAATGTTATGCACATTGCACGTTAGGATAATTAAAATTGCACATTATTGTTATGTAAATTGCACCTTAATATTTTATCTCACATTTTATTTATTTTGATCGAAAAAAATAATATTTTTTTATAAAAAAATATAAAAAATAGTACTTTTATATATTTCGGTTATTAAACAAAAAATTAAATAAATAAAACAATAAAATAGACATCGATCTGAAATAACTAAAATTTTAAAAGTAAACACATATAATCAACTCGACATAAAATTCGAACAAAAAAAATTAATTCAGTCGGGTGTAGTTGCTATAGTGCAATCTAATAATCACTAAGGTGCAATCTGTCTATAGTTAAAGTGCAATTCGGAAGACATTAACGTGCAATCAGTCTGACGCTAATGCACATTCAAAGTGCAATTATTTTTTCAATGTAAAAAATAAAAAATAAAGAAAAAATTGACATCAAACCAAAATAATCGAGCTTTTTAATGTAAAACTATAAATATATAAATCGAACCGAAATAGAAAATGTGTATGTGAATCGAGGTTGATACATGCATTCCAATTTTTAAGAAACTTTTAATAATGTGTATGTTAATAAAAATTATTTTGCACTAACCAAAAGATTTATTTTATTAATAAAGATATTTTGTATTTATAATTATTAAATATATGAAATATTTTATATGATGCAACATGTTGTGTTATAAGGTGCAACATATTACCGTATAAAGTGCAACGTAACATGTATATAAAGTGCACTAGCTAATTTATAATTTCTCAGAGAAATCATGTATAGATTATGTGTATAATTATACATTGAATTAACCTAAATAATTAAAATAAATATATATATATAACTGAATAGTACAAAAGAACAACTGAAATCGACCTATATAAACTTAAAAAAATATATGTACATATATATTCCAATACATTTCGGTCGGTACATATGTTACGTTAAAGTGCAATATCAAATGCCCAAAAGTGCAATATTTTCGTCATTAAAGTGCAATGTGTCCTATACTATTTTAATATTTTATATAATCTTAATATATTTATTATTTTTATTAATATAAATAATGAAAATAATTATTATTTATAGTATATTAATATATTTATTATTTTTAATATTTTTAATTAATATTTTATACACTTCTTTTTTGTTGAAAAATACATAATTTATATATGTATAAAAAATATATTCAAAATAATATTTTTTTATATTTTTTAATATTTACAGATTTGACCCTAGAGGCTAAATTGTAATATAAACAACATCTAAGAAAATTGCAAATGAGACCCTCGAAACTATCTAATTCTCAAATACATGCCAAAAAATTAGACCCAAATTCACAGTCCGTTTTCGTCCATTTTTCCGGCAACCGGACTTCAGCCAAGGTCATGAAGGACCCTCCGATGACACCAGTGTGGCCCCTGCCGGCCGACAGTCGCGGAGAGGGGCAAATCCGGCGGCGCGTGGTGGTGGAAGAGATGCCGTCTCGACCTTGAAAATTGGCGACGGTCCCCCTGAAGTGGAGAGTCGTGACGAGGGTGAGCGGCGGAATCGAAAAATGTAGGGGGCGGCAGCGGCGGAAGAAAACGGTGATGACTTGCAGGTGGACGACGGTGGTGGAGAAAGGCGGCGGTTGGGGCGGAAGAAAACAGCGACGACTTGAAGGTGGACGGCGGCGGCGGGTGCGGCGGAGTTGGTTGTGGCGCCGGCGTGTGTGTGGGGGGCTGTGCGTGCTCACAGTATGTTGCGGCGAGGATGCCAGCCGGTGACAGCGGTGGAGACCGGCCGACGGCAGCGGAGACCGACGATCGACGGTGGAGGAGCTTTGTGTATGTATGTATATGTGTGTGTATGTGCGTGTGTGTGTGTGCGATTAATGTACAGTGTGTGTGTATTAATGTATTGTGTATAGCGTGTGCAATTAATGTGTACAGTGTGTGTCTGGTGGATGTGTGCAGAGTGTGTGTGCGTGTGTTAGGTGTGTGTGCGTGTGATTTGTATGTGTTAGGTGTGTGGGGTGGGTGATGTGGCATGGTGATGTGTAATAGTAATTACCAATATACCCTTAATGAAGATATAATTTTGGTTTTTTTTTTAGTCATTAAATCATCCGATCTAATGGCTATGATTTATTCCTATTTCTCGCATTAAAAGTCATTCTCACCGGATCCCAACCCTATATATATATATATATTTGTGTATACAAAAACTCACACAATCACAAGTAATGCATACCTTAAATTAGGCTTTCTAAAAAGCAACACACGACACGCTCATGTATCACTATTACACATGCATACAATATGTTCTTAGATAAACAATATGTACAACTGAAAAACCATGTGATAAAATTCCACACACAAAAAAAAAAATCGAGCATAAATAACACCCTGACATCTATAAAATTTTATAGAATTTCAGTCATACAAAACCCGTTGCCTCTTAAGCGGAAAATGCAACTGCCGAGGGTACTCAGCCAGAGCTGACGCCTTCTTGATTATATCGCATAATGCTGCACGAAGAGAAGTCACGAGCAATTCAGTATCCTCCTTCTTTTCGCCTTTACTCATTATTAAAACAATTTTAACTCTATCACCTAATGTCGATATCTTGCACTCAGAAAGTCGAAAAGGTAGATCAATGAGGGCTTCTTTTATACCCGACAACAATTCAGGCCCGTAATCGCAGCAAATCGATGCCCTTATATAAAACAGACCATTGATCATTTCGATATTGACATCGTCAGTGTCGATTGGGATATTCAAGCCTTCCGTGGCATGTTTTGCAGCTGTCTTTAATTCTTTTAGCTGGCTCACCACTTCACCCAGTAATGTGGCTTTGTCCATCTGTGAATTGAACACAATTTTATACAAGAGGTAGAAAATGTAAGACAATATCGGAGGTGGAGTTAAGATCACAACAAAAATACTTACTTTTAATCGATTTTAGTATTATTCTTGTAGTCTGTAGAGTTAGTTTAATAGGTAGCTAGGAAAAATGTTTATATTCATCTTAGTTTCACAGTAATTAGCACAAAAATTATCCGCAATTACTAGAAAAGTGGTCAAAGAAGGTGGCGATAAATCAATCACAACAGTATTTGCCAAAATAATAATAAACAAACAAACAAGAAAAAACAAAAAATTCTACTATTGTTAGAGTAGTCGACTTCCTATTCAATCTGTTATTTCAAATACACAAGTTATTTTCTTGTTTTGTTTACTTTCCTTTAAACTCACATTATTATAATTTTTAGTCTCGAAACGATAGATAGATGGTATATTAGCTGCTCAAGAGAACAAAATATGGAGTACACATCCTGTGATCCACTTATCACTGCAAAGCGTAATTCTAGCTAGCAGTCTATTTATGGATTGAAGTAAGCTTCAAGGTCTTGGAACATTCATTTGGATGAGATAATCTAGTCGTGTGGGTTGACTCATTGTCCGAATGAGCACTGCATGTATAAAAAATGTGACACAAACATGGTGATTTTTCTTGTGTTGTACGTAGATGACATCATTTTCATTGGAAACAGTGTAAAGGTGTTGGTAGACGTAAAGGTATGATTGTCCAAATAGTTTAGCATGAAGGATTTGGGAGAAGTGTGGCATATTCTCATGATCAAAGTAATAAGGAATCAAAAAAGAATGATATGTTTATCTCCATATTCATACATAGATATTGTCCTGGCTCGTTTCAGCATGAAAAACTTTAAATAAGGGTTCTTACCTTTTTGGCATGGAGTTCCATTATCTAATTAGATATATCCCAAGATACCTCAAGAGATAGTGGGCATGAGAGAGAGATTTCATAGGCATCGGCAGTAGGAAATCTCATGTATTTATGTAATGTTGTGTACGAGGCCAGATATTTGCTATGCGGTAGGCATAGTGAGCAGGAATCAAGTAACTCGTGATAGGATCATTGGTCTGTGGTGAATTATATACTCTAATATGTGAAGAGGACCAATGACTAAATGCTAGTCTACCAGGAGAGCCAATTGACTACATTGATTCTGACTTTCAACCAGACATGAACGAAAGAAATCTAGCTCAGGGTATGGGATGAGGAACTTTATTATGGCAGAGTGTCAAGCAAAAATGAGTGGCGAACTCTACCATGGAAGCTGAGTATGTCACAGCTTCTGAAACAACGAAAGAGGCTATATGACTTAGGAACTTCATGTTGGACTTGGTTGTGGTGATGAGTTGCCCAAAGCTTTTACAGTTTACTGTGATAATAGTGGTGCAGTGGCAAACTCGAAAGAGTCACGATCCCATAAGGCGAATAAACACATAGAGCACAAATACCACCTGATACAAGAGATTGTAGGAAGAGAAGAAGTTGTGGTTGCCAAGATAACATTAGCAGAAAACCTAGCAGATCCTGTCACGAAGAGTTTACCGACGAAAGTCTTCGACAGACACATGGAGGGAATAAGAGTAAAATGTTTGGAGATAGGATCGTCATAGATCTTTGAGAATGAGATTGAGAATTGTATACTGGGAAAAGCAAAATCTTTAAGTATTAAGTGGTAGAATGTTAATGTGTATACTGAAAGCTTGACTTTTGTTGCTAACACTATATCCATTTGAATGAGAATCATGTTTAATTAAGCGCTGCAATGTTCTATTGTTTTACATTTAGATAGATATAGTTCATCACGGACCTCTCCTTTCGCGTCTTCGTACCCAACGAACGATCATGTTATCATTTACTTGTATATCATAAAAATTGGTTCACAACCTAGATGGAATTGAATAAACCATTGTAAACAGTTGTTGTGTAATTTTGAAATTGGATGGTCTTCACTGATGAATTACACTAGTACACGAAGAGTGTATTGAACGAACCTGCAAAGGATAAGTTTATTTTATAATGACCAAGTAAATAAATTATACCTCGATAATTACTGTGTACATTAACCTGTAAGATAATAACGGGCACGTGCACTCAATAGTTGTTTCTTTGATTCACTAAAAGCGTGATTCATTCTACTGGATCAATAGTCCGTGTGAGTTGGGAAATATTGTTGTTTGTATGGTGTGTTGTTCAATTATTTACGATCATCGTGTGTTGGTGTGCCAGTTTGATGATGTCCCCGGAATGCGCTCAAGAATGATCATGATGTCAAGCTCTGCGAGCGGATTTAATTCCGGCATAATAATATAGGATTGAGTAGTACTAGTTTCGGATTAAGAAGTCAATTACTTATATTGTCAGCAATTAAAATTAATTGACGGATATTATATCTATAACAAAGGGGGATGAATCGATTAGATTAATCTGGAGCCTCAAATATAACTTGAGGGCTAAATAGTAAGTTCAATAATAGTGGAATAAAATATTATTAATGTGTGAAAAATATAGGTAGACCAGAGTTTTAGAATCATGTTCACACATGGGGAGTCCTTATTTAGCACCCCCTCAAGGTCCATGTTGTAGGCTACAAATACACCTACCTCTTGATGATTTTGGCGGCCCCTCTCGTTTATAATATACACGCACGTGAGATTTGAGAAGAGAAAAATATCGAGAGCTAAATTAATAAAGAAAATGATAGTGTCCAAAAAAACAAGGTTTGCCTTTTTATTTTTCCAAGCAATTGACGTGAGATCATCCAAGGGAGCCTTCGAGTTCGTCATCTACAAAGACGTACGAAGTCGGTGCCCGAGATATATACAACAAAAGATCCCGAGATAAAAGAAGGCCCATTCGTCCGGTCCCGTAGACTGTGTAAGTGTGTACAAAGTTTGTGAATTTTTAAAACTGTCAGCGTTCAATCCTAATCTTTAGATCCACTTAAGTTATGATTAATTCATAAATAATTTTAACTTGTATGTACATTGATGTACTTCACGAAACCCCAAAAAAAGGTTGTTCTATCTGAACATGACTAGACGGAAGCTCACATATGTTGTACAACAATCCAGTCAATTTGTACTCCTCACCCTTCTCACTTGGAAGCAACTCTACATATCTTGGGGGGAGTGCATCCCTTGGGATTTCTTTAATTTTTTTTAAGGTGTTGAAAAGGACGACATCGTTTATGCTACGTACATACACTATAAATATAAGAACGAATTCTGTATGCTGTGATTTTTTAGCAATAAATGAAAATAAAATAGGGTTTCTTCCTCCCTCTCTTTCCCCCTCTGAAATTCAACAATTACAAGTGATCATGTATATTTATCTTAACCACAGTTGAAAGTCGTTAACTTAGAGCATTTCCAATGTTATGGTTTTGAAAGACAATAATTTTTAACACATGTCAATTAATGATTGTAATGTTAATCCACATAGGAATAATGTTAAAAGACTAAAAATTTGAATCAACTAGTATCTCCAATGCATCAATTTGATAAGAATTTATTTGTATAGGTGGACCAATTATAATAATTCATTAATACAAAAATAATAAAAAATTAAACCAAATATAAAGTGAATTAATTAGTCATCATGTTTAACATGATGTTAGATATTAGAAAGTGAGTTTAACATTGTCAACATTAAATGTTATCCACATCATCATGAAAGAACTAATGACAAGATGCATTGGAGAATAAATTAGTAACAAACTATCAAAAGTTGATAATATGAATAATTTTTTGCAATGTCAAAAGTCACGTTAGAAATGCTCTTATATGTTTACAGTGCTTACTAAAGTCAAACTAAAAGCATATGATNAAAAAAAAAAAATCACCGACTTTACTTCAATGAAAGAAAGTCAAACACGACAAAATCATTGACCGCAACTCGAGCAGACTTATCTTGTTAAGTTAACATCTTGTGCTGATTTGATCATTTATTTATTTATTTATTTTTTCCCTTTGAAATTAAACAGAAACCTTATAAGTTGCTTATTTAATCGCCCAAAAACAAAATATGAATCTAAATTTAATTGGCTGACCTTTTCTTTGGTGCACACAAGATCACGGAGGATTTGCAAGTGTGCGTTAATTCTCTCTCTTCTCCTTCTCTCTGCCTCACTATGCCTCTTTAATGCGGCCGTAGTTTTCATTTCCGAAGTGCCGATTTTGCCCTTTACTAATCCACTCTTTGCAATGAATGTTCAAGAGGGATCGGGATTTGATTACTCGAAATAATCCTGGATGATTGATGACTAGTCCCTCAACGGTTTTCACAAAGTAAAAGTGAATTCTTGATAATATGAGGGAATGATCAGTCCTAAAATTAAGGTAATTAATAAAATGTGATCAAAAATCTCAAAGCACCAACTAAAATAACCACAAAACCATGTAGGCCTAGAGCACGAG